TTATTTCTACGAATTTCAACAAATCGGGCTGCCGTCAGGTGGTTAGCTACAGCCTCGTCTTCCGAGTTTTTAATTTTTGTTGATGCGTTTTGAAGAGACAATTTTTTGAAAAAGGATCAAAGTAAATCACCCGAGTTTTTCTAGTGACCCCTTAAAGAGATAAGCTGCCATGAATTTTATCTGCACTTGTTCCAAATTTGATAATGATTTGAAAAGTGGAAATATGTTTTTTTAATCCAGAACAGCGCTTGTTTCAAAGTGTTTTGATGCTCGTCTTCGTCACTTGACACATTTAACGCGCTGTCATTGGTTGAGGAGCTTTGTTTACAAAACAGATGTCCACGTTGTTTTTTAATTGTTTTAATTTCCTTACTTTCTAAGACACATTAAGTTGATTTGATGCTACAGTTTGCCTTGTAAAATTATTTTATACCTTTTCTACTACTTTTGAATGGGCTATTATTAAGTTTTATTAGTTTTTTAGGATACAAGATGCTTCCTACAAAAACCAGAATGTGAATCTTTTCCTAAAATTTCATGGCGATATCTTGAACACTGAGGAAGTTATGAGCAAAAACAGAAAACAGCAAGGTGAAATGGTCACAAAGGCCACATTGGAGCTGATTTCACCTAAACAAACATCAATAACTTCCCTCATACTTCAGATAATCACATGATTTTGGTGATATTTTGTATGGTTTGACATGTTCTTTGGAATCCGCTGTCAGATTTAATATTGGTGTAGGATTAAAAATTTATCCACATCCCTATATAAAGACTACAAAGGCTGAAAAATCTTGAAGTCTGTATGAAATTGGAGGTAGTTTGAGGATTCAATTTTTTATGCTTTTTAAGCTCAAAAAGGGGGGGGGTCGTTTTATACATGAGATTGTATTATACACGAATAAATACGGTAACTCTGACGGATTTGAGAGAATCATGGAAAGAAGTTGAATTATTTAAGTAAACAACATGCTAGCATGAGCTAGCATGTTTTACTTTCTGTATAAGCAATACCGGTCACATATTTGCATACAAATTGACTTCTGTTGCGAGAATAAAAATGTATTCTGTTATGTTTGGTCACATTTTAAAAGAGCCACTGCAGAGGGACCAAAGAGCCACATGTGGCCCCAGAGCCGCAGGTTACAGACCCTTGGTCTATACGAAGCAGAGGTTTACATACACTGAAAGACTTTATTCTTAAAAATGGTAACTATAACAACAAGAAAACTTGAAGAGACTTACTGTTGTAAGTACCACAAATGGTGGATTTACAAAGTATTGACATTAGGGGTGTTCCAATTGATCAGCCACTGATCAATATCAGCCGATTTTCYTGAAAAAGCATGTGATCAACGTTTTTGATAAATGCCTTCCATTACCGATCACAAAAACTGATAATRTGGCAGAGGCTGTGTGTGCATCTGCATTTAGTGTAGTGTCCTCCTCCACCTTTCACCCTGCCTCCCGTGTCATGGGAAGTAATTGTGCAGGCGCGTAGAGGGAGCAGATCATAAACAAACATGTCTGCTGTCTGGAAGTTTTTCACCATCTGTGAGAGTGATGCAAAGTTTGCAAACATGTGCAACGGAAAAATACCTCATGGAGGAAGTACAGTAAAATCCTTCAACAAACTTAGTACGACATTTAAAGAACAAGCACTTGGCAGAATATGGTGAGTTTTCCAGGCTCATGGCAGACAATGAAAAGACGCGGAGCAGCAACAGTCAGACAGCAGTTAACACAGCCCACACTTGCCAACACTCGTCCGTACAAGCGTGACACTCAGTCCATCTGATCAGTATTGGTGATCAGCAGTGATCAACACTCATAGATGATCGGTGTCAGAATCGGCAAGATAAGACCTGATTGGAACATCCCTAATTGATATTATTGAAAATTCAAAGCAAGATTTTTCCCCCCATTCAACTTCTTTAGTCTGGAGTATTTTGTGTAAAATGCTGAAAAGTTCATTTAAAATCCAGGTTGAGGCAGCCAAAGAAAGAAAACCAAGGGGCTGAATATTTTTATAAGTCACTGTTCACATAACAAAATGATGCAATACCATTACTGAGTCTAATTCCACCGATTAAAACAACTTAATCTTTACAAATGCTATCTACCAGTGAGAAACAGCAAATGCAACACATCAGATTTGGCTGGAGAGGAGGAGGAAGAAGAAGAAAAGAAGAGGAAAAAACAACATTAGAGTGGACAAGAAGGAAGAAAACAAAATCAATAGAACTCCAGACACAAGAAAACAAGTTTGCAAGTCTGTACTTTTATAAACAAAATGGCTGTTTGATCAGAACAGACAAGAAACTGACCCGACGGGATAAATGATGACATCATGTATGAAGAATCCTCGACCTTTCTAAGCAGCTGAAACAAGTAGAGTGTTTGTCTGCGAGTTCATAAAATTACACTATCAGCACATTAATTAAGATCCAGTTTCTAAATTTGGTTTCAGAATCAGGTTGACGACTTTTTTAGACAAATACTGAATTCCCAACAATCTGAATCTGGTGATTTCTTCCACAGCTGGGCTGTTTTGGTGAACGTCACGCCTGGAATGTGAAAATGATACCACGGCTGTTTTTCTACTTTAGCAGAGAATTTTTTTTTCTGCTGTAATCTTTCAATGAGTCATGAACTCTAAATCAACAGTTTCCTAAAGTGAGCC